TCTCTTGCTCTGCAGCAAAGCAACACAAGACCTGAAATTACAGACAAGTGATGGGCACCCAGGGTTAGTGCGAGCCCAGTGCAAGACACGAGTCAGTGGTGACAAAGGAGAAGCCCTCCTGCTTAAATCACCCATGCTGCCCCTTGGACAGCAGTCACACATAAACCAATTCTACCTGGAAAAGCACCACTCGTCAGAGTGAGCGATGCACAGAATTCAGGCGTTCTTGGCATGCGTGACAGGCGGTTTGTTACTTATATTTTTATTTTGCTGAGCCAGAGTAAATGCCACCTAAATGCCATGGAGCTTTTGGTAAATAAGCAAATGCCATTTCATGGGTGTTTTGCATCTATTTTACATGGTGATCATAAAGCAACAAGCTCAGAAAGGGCCAAGGGAGCTCATGGCCTCACTGTCCTCTACATCCCTGAGGCAGGAGGAGCTCATTGCTGGGTTCCATCTGCAGGGCAAACAGGGAGGGAGGCTACACGCAGGCTTGCCTTCTTCCCAGCAGAGCTATCTGGGGCCAGATCCAGGCTTTTTTCAGCAGAGACTGTCTGGTTCGTCCTGCATGAGCAGAACCCAGTGACGCTTCTGCCACGCTGCAAAGCCTTTGCTTTAGTGCAGGGTTTTGGGTCGTTTCCCCTCCTTGCTGCAAATCCATGAAAATTCATGCATTTGAGGAAAGCAAGCCCTAGTTGCTATGGTGAAAGGCATTCTGCAAACTAAGAAACAAACACAAGTGGGACATTTGGAGGTTACTGCATCCTCGCACATCTTTCTGACAAGAATAAAACACCCCAGCAAATTAAAGGCTCTGCTAACTTCCAGTGTGAGGGATTCATGGTACAACTGGTTTAAGGAATTAATAATCAACCCCTGCATCTCTCCAAAGCAGCCTCACCCCTGTGGCACCCAGCACTTCCCATTAAAAACAGCTGCTGCAGGTGCTGTAGGACCTAGGCTTTGGCTTTGCTGCAGTGATGCCAGGAGGCTTGCAAAACACCTGGGAACACCAGGACAAGGACCCATCAATGTGACCTCCCAGATCTGTTCACAGTCACTGAGAGGAGGAGGAGCCTGGACACAGAGCAAGCCCATTAAGTCAGGCAGAGGGGGAGGATTAGCCAGCAGAAGGGCCAGGGTGCCTTTGTGATGAGCTCCCCACTTTCACTCATCATTGTACTCTTTTTTCTTTTCCTGCACTAAACACAGCCCGCATGTAGGTAGACATTTTCACAGTGACCCAACTACATCTCCTTTTCCCCCCAGAATCATGCATACATTGACTGCCCATCTCTCCCTCGATAGCAGCACGATCAGAACTGAAGGCAGAGATCTCCCCTCTGCGGAGCACACACTTGCTCTAGTTCTCAGAGCTGTGCTGGGTACATACTCTCGTCTCACCACAAAGGACCACCAGATCCTTTTTTCTGCACACTAGGAACCCTTGATCTCGCCTAACGTAGGTCTTCTGATTTAGAAACTATGATGGGAAAAGAGTCCATCTCCTCTAACTCCCAAAGGAAAGCTGCAGAGATGCAGTCTGGGTGCCAGAGGCTGCAGAACATATGCAGTACTCCTCAGTCCACAGGAGAACTGGCAGCAGTGACTGTGCAGGGGCAGATGTTGCTCTGCTTAACAGCTTGCTGGGCTTAGGGTATTTTCAGGATACAGGAAGGCCAAGATTTTGCTTTCACGTGGTGCTGCATCAAACGTCTTAAACTGAACTGCTGCAATACCACAGCTGCTGCACTACTCTTGCCCGGCAAGACAGAGAAGCAAGAGACCACCACCAGGTCTGCATGCAACCCACCAGCACTGGTCCGTCACTGAATAAAAACACCAAGTGACAGAAGACATGGCCCCATAACTTAATGCCCTTAAATTCTGGAGCCCCATTGGGTCATGCCTTGACTGTCCCAGCAGCACATGCCCCTGTCCTGATGGACCCAGCTCCAGGCCTGGCACCTCAGCTCAGTGCCTGCTGAAGCTTTGCTCCACAGCACCTGCAGAGCTACTCTCTCAGTCCATAATCTCGTAAGCTGTTAAGGCAGGGTTCACCCTTTTCCTTGCTCAAAACGTGCTTACTTCTGGTCCACACACAGCACAGGCCACCCTTTTACATCCCAAACCTCAAGATACAATCCTTCAGTTCTAACACTGTGTGAGTTCAGATGGCTCTCTTCCTACTGCGAGCCTTTTTGAAGGATCCTGGAACATTTTGGCTGTATCTTCACGTTCCTTTGCATTTCTATTTATTCATCACAGCCTTTGCATTTTCACAGGGGAAAATAAATAAATGACCAAGTAAATAATAAATAAAAGCCTGAAGGCAGCCAAGCCCTGGCTCCGGAGATGCACGCAGCTGCCCCGGCCGCCTCAGTGCCAGCACTGCACCAGCTGCGACACTGGGCACACAGCCACCCTGCAGGGCAGGGGAGGAGGAAGAGGAGGCAGCACAAAGGGGCTGCCAAGCTGGCATCTCCCCGCTGTGCCCAGCCTGACCCTACTCACACGGGAGATGCTGGAGCAGGATTGTGGTCCGTGACTTGGACGTGCGAGGAGCTGGCACACCACCTCCCTGAAAGCAATACATACTGCTCTGTATGAAGTGCTTCATAAAGCAGCCCTGTTCCTCGGGACTCAGCTAGACAAGAACAAAGCCAAAGCGTCTCACACCTTCATGGGAGGCACAAATCACTCACACGCTTCCCCTGGGCTTTCTGCACCAAGCAAACCAAGGAACCTTTTGCACAAATATTCTTCAAGACAGAGGGAATTTAAACTCCTCAATGTAACTCATCCTACAGGATCTATTTTCTGAGCAGTGTGGGAAGGCACCGGCCTGCACAACGATTTATTAGCACAAACAGGAGTGTGTGTTTAACTCCGTGGAATGGGGAGAACAAAGGATTATTCAATAAAATTCTGATGAGTTCTGCCAAAAGCAAAATACCAGCTGGAGCCCGGGGTAGCGCAGGCAGCCTATCGGCAAACACTGCTGCCAGTGCATCTGCACACAGGCATCAGCTGCGGCCCCGGGGAGCAGCAGAACTGGACCATCCTCACCTTGCTGTGCACCATTACCTGCAGGTCCTGCCTTCTGCTTCAAGCCCATGCCTGGCAGTGCCACAGCTGGGCAAGGAGGAGGCCCAGCATGATGACCTGACATCATGCTCCCCGATGCCCTTCGTTTAGATCCTGCTGCAGGAGCTAACACAGCCACTTTGCGAGAGGGCAACGTCGTTGAGCAGCAGATAAATAATGTATATAAAAGAGGACGTGGTGCAGTTCTGCAAGGTCATGCTGGAGCACACTGGCGGCCAGCTGGGGCCGGGCTCCTCGGGTAAGAAGCCTGCAGCTATTTATGACTCATGTAATTAATTAATGCCAACGGGCGCTCTGCTGCAGGCACGTGGGAGACCAAAGGGAAATACGAAGCGAGTAGGTTAGGAAATGTAGTGGAGGTGGGGGAGAAGGATGACAATTCTTGCAGGAAGGCACGCTTTGAAGTAATCATCAACAATCCAAACAGCCAGCAGCTCTTTGGGCTACATCAGTACAGAATCAATTAGGGGTTTTAAAAGTGCTCTGATTTCAGAGAGCAGCCAAATAAAAAATGGCATTTGAGGTAGGGCCGGGGCATTTCTAAGCATCATGCACCACGAGATTCACGGCCCCACAGTGCAACCCACGAGTGTTGCAAACAGTTGAGTGAGCAGCGTAATGCCTTTCATGTGTTTTTGGATGAGGAATGTTAAAGAACAAGGGCAGCTGAATTTTATGTCTCTCTGAAGCCCAAGGACAAGATCAGCAAATGCAAAAAGGACTGATGGGCAAAGCAAAAAGCAGACACTCCCTGGAAACTGAGTCCCTCCAGGCACTTGAGGCTGCTATCTGCCTTCTACGGAGTCAGCTCAGGTGCTGGGGAGCTGAAAAAAGGGCCACATCCATCACTGGCCTGTTCCACCACGCAGCCCTGAGGTCTCACAGCAAGTGCTCCACACGTGGCAGTGCTGAGTCATGACACCATGCTCACACAGCCGGCGAGAGCTTAACCTAATTTTGTCCCTTTGTTTGTCCTCTGCGCAGAGGAGATCAATCAGCTCTGCTCTCTGTCTTCACATCCTATGCAGCCAACACCTAATGCACGGTGCAGCAGAACTGCAAACACAAAACAGACCTCTTTTGTCCCCTGATGCCCCACAGTCCTTTCGAGCTGTCCATTTCGCATCCAACCTGCATCCTCGCTCGTCTCTCTGCTGCCAATTTGTGGCCAGAACATCTACCATTTCATGATGTGAATGCACATATTCATGCGTTCTCCTGCCTCCCTCTTATCGTAAGAAATCAGCTCACACAGTGAGGATTTAAATTGGTTTACAACCCAGCGCTGATTTCCTTCTCCAGGCTTGTCTTTTCTTCCTGGACACTCATGGGACATGAGCACTGCACAACAGCTCAGCGTTGCCACCTCTGCAGCCTGGGGTATCTCGCTTCCTGCCCTCCCATCAATACTAAAGCCGACTCAGACCCCCACTATGCACTGGTTTTCTGGAGTAGAACCATGCAAACTAATAGCAGAGATTTAACAAACAAAAAGAGCATGTGAAATGGCAGTTTTAGCAGCATAAAAACAAGCATGAGTGAGTGAAACAAGAGCAACAAAGTCTGCCTTTCTGGTGGGTTGCAAACCAACAGGAGCCTAAGTCTCTAGGGTAAAACATGAGCAAAGTGAATGACAACACCAACACCCACTTAGCATTCGTGTGACGTATTCCTGATCTGAGCTCACCAGCTTTGAGAACACTTCTGTTAAATACTGTACAGCTCCCAACTAGGAGTGATCTAGATTGTTTATTTCCTAAACAGATGCCCCCCCGCTCTGGGAGATCCTATAAGCCAAAGACAAAAGCAGTTTTAAAGAGATGCTTCAACCTCTTCTGGATATCTAAAATCAGCAGCTGGCTCCATTTCTCTAATTGTTTCACACTGACCTTGAGGATGTTTCGCCCATTAAACGACTCCCTCTCCTTGAAGGATGATTTACCAGTCACTGTGCTGCTTCGTTCTTCAGCTGGAAAGAGAAAAGCCACCACCAGAATGAGCTTCAGATAGGAGAACTGTGTGCGCTCTACTTCACCCGCCAATCCTCTTCTCCTCAAAGTCAGCTGCCAGCTGATAAACCATCCTTGCACAGCTCTTCATGCAAAAACACTGCCACTTTGATCTTAAAGAGATCCGTGCTGACTATGCAGGGATCAGTGCTTCTACCAGGATCACCTGCAACACCTGGAGGAAAGACCCTGCACACAGCTGGTGTTAGGGTGATTCTGGAGGGCACCTGTTGTGGGGAACATCCCTGCATACCATCTACGTGTGCGTATGTGAGGCAAGGAAGCAGCCACCCACTGAGACATGGAGAACAGCGATCCAGGCCTACAGTGAGTGTCAAATGTCTCCATCTCAGATCCATCTCCCCAGAGGACGTCTGAAGTTTTCTATAATCCCTAAGTACATAATCTGTTCTTTCTAAGGGACCTTTGCCACACTCACTGAATACATTCAATATTTCTTCTACATCTCCAGCATTAACTATGAGTTCCCACTCACAACCAACAATGCTAATCAGATCCCATATCGAATGTAAAGTGATTTCTATGGCTGTCTGGGTAATGCTCTCCTCATTGTCTCCGAATGCCTCACATGCCTGATAGAACAGTTCAGCACACAGACTGGATGCTACTGCCAGCATGTCCCCCTGTCCTAAGGGCAAGATTCCTGTAAGTGCTGCTGGCCAAGAGCGGGTCTGAAATTGTGAGGAAGAACCTTAGAAAGGACCCAGAAGGTACTCAAAGCATGTCTGCCTCCTCCAGCTCTGCTGGCTGCTTTTTCAGTTTTTCTTGGGTTTTATTTAGCAACATCCCCCATACAATCTTCAAGGCACTTTTAAGATTAAAATAAGCACAAAAATAATTACAAAAAAAAAAGCAACCCAGCACAAAAAGTATAAAAATCAACAGTTACTGACTAAAACACCTCCTGTTCAGTGGTATTGTGTTAAATGGACATGAGAAAATGGTTTCTAACTGAAAGAGGGGAGATTTAGATATAAAGAAAAAGTGTTTTACAGTAAGGGTGGTGAGGCACTGGCACAGGCTGCCCAGAGAGGTGGTGTCCCTATAGACACCGAAGGTCAGGCTGGACAGGACTTGGAGCTCCTAATGGAGCTGCGGGTGGTCCTGTTCACTGCAGAGCAGTAGGGCCAGATGGTCTTTCAGGGTCCCTTCCAACTCGATGCATTTACCAGTAAATAACAAGAATACTCACCACCGCTTGGGTCTTTCCTGAAGAGTGTGTTCATGACAGTAGCGTGCAGTTTCACCCTATCCCATTCCCTAAGCATCAGACCAGAGGCTACGAACCTCTCCACCAACTGATCAGCAATCACCTGCAGCCTGGAAAGGCAAAAGGAGAAAGAACGGAGCAAAGTAAGCCGAGGAGAAATTCCTGCACTGTCAGTGTTTCACTCTTCTGCCAGGAAGGGCAGCATGTGTGAAATGAGGTCTTTGCATTCACTTGGGAAAAGAGAGCAGGGGAAGCAAACAGAGCCATCAGAATTCATTTATCCTGCAAAAAGTTCTGGCTGTTTCACAAGGCTTCCTATGTCCTTCCTCCATTCACACGGCTTCTGCTGCACACAGTCCACAAAGCAGGGCAGATTTAGCATAGCAAGGAGTTTGCTGCCAATGCCCAAACCTATGATCCCCGGGGCATTCAGGCACCTCGGCCCCCACGGGACTCACTCGGCGCAGGGGCCGCAGCTCTGCAGAGCAGCAGGCTGGAGCTGGGAAAGGCTTGGTTGGCCCCAGGGCTTGGGGTGGCCACGCTCCGGCTGCCAGCTCCTACACTGCCTGCTTGATCCTCACCCCCGGTGGGCTGCCGGCAGCCACGCGGCAATTTCTAGACTCTCCAACTTCCGACTGTCATGGTTTTCTGTTATTTTCTGGCTTTACCTCAGTGATTTTTAAAATTAGCAATGACAAAGATTAAATGAATATCATTATGGACAATACTAAAACAAATTAACAGAGAATAGCTCAAGTGAAAATGGGGCTTTATTGCATTATAAAGTTAATCAAGGAAATAAAACAAATTAGAATGAATTATAATGGAAATTATTTGCCGTACGGGAGGCATCAGAGCATGATCTCTCTCTCTCAGTCTGAGCCATTCTATGTGCAGAAGGGCTTGCCATCCCCTAATGCTGTCTGCAGTTATGCAAGCTAAGTCGGGTAAATCAAATCTCCTGCTTTATGGCTTAAGCTGATCAAGATCATCCAAAGATCAGGAAGGAACTCCACCTCCATCCACTCCAGGAGCCACACGGAGCCAGCAGGATGCCTCACAGGAGGCAGGAAGGCACAAACCTCTCACATGGGCTGCAGCAGTCTGAGCCAGCACAGCACAGCGTGGCGCAGCATGGCACAGCACATGGCTGCTGTGATCCTCCAGCATTGGCCTTGCAGCTGAAAAACTGCTTCCAGACTGCTTTGCTCATGTCTCTGAGCAAAAAGAGGCAGGTTTTAGCAGGCAAGAGAGACAAGTGCCAATTCATTCTGCTGGGAGAGATGCATCAATTCACAGGTGAGGGCAGGACCTGCCTGGCTGAGAAGAAAACGCTACAACCACATGGCGCTCTCTGAGCCTATTCCCAAGCAAAAGCAACAAACAGTGTTGCAAAACAGAAGCTTGGCAGCCTCCAGTTGCCATGCAAAGCACGAGGTTTGGGTTAAGCCAAAACCTCAGCTAGGGACCTCCGTGAAGGACAGAGGAGGCACTACCTCAGCAGCAAGCCCCTTTCTCCGGAAACATGTCTACAGTTGCAATGGCAGGCGGACTGGAAGGTCTCATTTCTCTCCCCAGCCACAGGCAGACCTGCCAGCCCATCCACATTTTGTTCCAGCACAATGGCTAAAAGGCTCCTCAGCAGAACAGGCAGCACTGGCACCCGAGGGAAGCTGCAAGATCAGTCCCCAGCAATCCAAGCAGTCCCCAGACATGGGCAGACGCTCCTGCCCCATGTTACGCTCCGCTTAGGTTCCACCTGTCTGGTCACAGACACGCACAGAAGCGCAAGCAAACTTGCAAGTGCCACATGTAAGGGGTGATCCAGAGACTCGGAAGAAAAGGGGTCTACAGCTCAGTGAGCTGATACATAGTGATTTCTACAGCACTGACTGAAGGGCACTTCGGTCATCCAGTATCCACCTCATATTTCTGAGTGCTCCCTCATTTCCTCTCCCTGGCTGATGTGGATTGCCCCGGTTCTCCACCCTCCCCCTCTGCTTTATCTCACCTCTGTCAGGGTAGGACAGACTTCAAAGCGGAAGAGTAGAGAATGGGAAAAGAAGATTTGGGTTCTTACCACCTCTCAGCAATTGTTACACTTCCATTTCCCCCAGCCACTTTCTTATCTCACATCCGATCTCTTACTTCAACAGAGCAAATAAAGTGTGTTTTTCCCCAGGGCATTAAGCATGGGGCCCTTGGGGAAAAGAAGATGCTAGAACACATCCCTCCCTCCTTGAATAGGTTCCTGCTGGCACCTTCCTTCTCCAGCTGTGCTGTTCACCCCCCTGCAAGCTCCTGTTGTCCTCCAGCAAGGGGATCAGACAGCAAGGGCAGCACTGCTGGAAAAAGATCAAGCTAAAGAAGAGAAAGCCAACACTCAAGAAGAGAAGGCTGAAGTTCTCCTGGCTGCTCCCCTGCCTCCTTCCCAACCAGCTCACATGAGCAGTTCAGGAAAATGGTGGCTCTTGCATTTCCCCAGTCTTTGAGAAAGCACTTAAAGATTATGCTGCTGTTGGTGATGCACTTGTCAAAAATGAGATGGAGGAAAGCTGTCCAGCCATCACTGCATCCTGGACAGGGCTGTGGCAGGGCCTTCAGCTGAAGCCACGTCAGAACACTGAACAGCACAAACACACCAACCTGACTTTGACATTTCACACCAGAGGTCAGAAGACAGATGTTTCACACCCAGCTTGTGTTTCAGGCTACTCAGAGACACAAAAAACAACTCTGTGATCAAGCTGCATTTTTCTAAGGACTTTTTTGTTTAACTGGTTTTTAAGAATAATGAAATGCTGCAGAATAAATCAGGCTGTCCAGATTCACCTGGTCCATTCATTGGAAACTAGGCAGCAGAGGCCAAGTTGTCCTGTGTTTTAAGTCACCTGGGGAACACCTCCTTGCCTATCTCATCACTGCCTGATCCACAACACCATTACTCACTCCAACAGACTGTTACAGAAACAAATGACATCCTTCATCGCAACACCACGGACTGAGTCAAAGACCAAACACATCACTGCCTTAACTGGTACAGGAAGCAAGAATGACTTAATCTTCTTGACTGCTAGCCCAAGGACCGTGAGCAGCACCCACAGACTTTGGACAGCCGAGGTTTCTCTCGCTGCTGCTCAGTGCTGCCCGCATGCTGGGGACTGAAGGAAAAGGGCACAAGGAACTCACTTGTCTGAGCCATCCTTCATGTGGACTTTGGCATAAAGGACATCCATCATGGCAGGGTCGTCGTTCATGTACTCCACCCCAGTCACCTCCACACTCAGGGGCTTGCCTCCTGTAATTTGGCTAAAATGGAAGAAAAAGCAAAACGTCACACTTGCTTTAGAAACGCAGCATGTAGCATTCCTCCTGCCTAATTTCTAAAGCTCGAAAAGCTACAGCTGCTATTGTCTCATCATCTCAAAAAATACCATAAAAACATTTAAATTTAAATTCATACATTCACTGTTTCAGACATACGATAAGTCAACTTGTCAGTACTCACAGGCTATCTCAAAGCAGAAATCTCTATTTACTTTTTGCAAAAGCTATCAGTAGTCGAATGGTGTAACTCCTCATTCCAGAGAAGCTGCCGCCTTCCTCACAAAGAGAGCGACTGTGACACAAAGCCTACAGTTCATTGATTTTCACTGGCAAAAGCACTTGATGCAGAATGCAGTTTTAAGTACATTTCAACATCCACTTACAAATGCTGGAAGTAAATAGAATTGCTTTAAAAACCGTCACCAGCTACTCTGGCAGGAACACGAAACCTAAAATGCGCGCAGGATGTAATATGTACTCCCACACCTAGCAGCACCGTGAAGCCTATCTGCTCCCAAACACACCACCTCCTTGCTCTCCAGGAGCACATCACAGGAGGCATGCGCTGCAGCAAGAGCTTCCAGGAGCAAGTGCTTCAGCCTCAATCAGTGCTGAGGTTTTGTGGGCAGTGCAGGGCAGGCAGAAGTAATGACCACAAGTTAAGTGGGAGTGTGACTTTGCTCTAACCTTGCTTGCTTTTGTGCAGCCTGCCTAAGAGGTTCCTAGTAAGACTTCCCAGGTGGAACAGGGGAGTGCGATTACCTCTCCCAGTATGATTACTGGGAGGAAAACAGCACAAGTAAGACTACAAACACTTGAGGCCATGTGTCCAAAAATTGTAAAAAGAGGGCACGCTGACTTTCAGACAGTATTGCCTGCATTTAGTAAAAGTAAATGAATGCTAATGAAGGTTCATATGGGTGGAAGGGAGCCTGAATTGATTTTAAATGCCTATTTATTTGGCTACGGCAGGGAAAATAACCTGTCAACGCAGTCAAGTGTTGACTCCTCCTCCAAGGCAATGGACAGTCAAGATTTTCTCTGTCTCAGTTCAACCCACTCCTGAGGAGGGTGGCACTCTTCAACAACTGTGGGCAGCCCCTTCCCCTGAAAATACTACTGCATTTCTGGTCAGCAGCTGAAAAAAGGAAGCCTTCCATTTAGAGGAGGTAAGAATTTTGGCCATGCATTGATTCCCACAGGTGTCAGCTAGCACAGCGTGGCTAATTCTTCACGCAGCAAGGTAGAAAAAAAGAAATACAAATAAGGAATCCGTGACCTCTGTGCAAAGGCATTGCAAAAATAAATAAATAAATATGTACAGCAGCCCCTCAGGCCATCTCCAATTTCTAAGCTGCACAGAGATAAGCTAATTACAGTGTCATTCAACCACATTTACAGTTCGAGCCATAATATCTGCAGTTCCATGTTAACAGGCTGTGAGAAAGCCCAGTTCCTTGAAGCGGTGCTGAATGGTTCAGAGTGATGACTCACATGGCTCACGCTGCCTTCCCTACACACTCCCTGCACCCAGAAATGCATGTCAAGGACACCTCAGCATCCACTCTGAGGCAGGAAGGAAGGAGCAGTGTGCTGGAACCCACTGTAGGCAATATGGGAAGGTGCTGGAGCTCGCTCTTCCCCCTGCAGCAGGCAGGGGACAGCAGCAAGGAATTGCTCACACAAAAACAATGGGACTGATGTGAGAAATGTCTGGAGCAGGTCTGCAAGGAACACTGAGGGACTGAGCTGAGAATACTGCTGTGCCCTCTGGTTGTGATTTCTTGGCGATTTCTGCTGCTCCTACTCAAAACATTCCCAAGCCTCCTAAATTTCTGGAATTTAGGTACACTGTCAGGCTGCTCTCCTCATCATTCCTCATCAAAGACAGCTTGCTTTTTTTCCCCCCCACAGGTGCCTTTTGGTGCTGACATCCCTTTGCAACACTTACTCAACAAAGTCCTCTTTGCACTGCTGCAGGAGGTCACACGCTCTCTGGATCTCCTGTTCGTTCAGCAGCACCAGCGTCCCCAGCGTCAGGTGGAGCTTTGCAGGGTTCTGGAACAGGCTGCTGCTGACCCCATGATCCTACAAATCAATCAAACACAGCATCTCATCTCAAGCATGTACACACAACACCTCTGTCAGAGGGATCCACATAGCAGGGAACAAGCAGCAAGCCACCAGCACCAAACCTCTCATCTCTGCATCACTAGGCAAGTTGCTAGAGTCTCAAAGTTGAAACAAGGGAATTGCACAGACTTTGGGAGTGAGGCAGAGCCCAGCACCACACGCCTGCACACCACCTGCCTTTGCAGTGAGGTCCAAAGGCAGATCAGGGCTCTTTAGGGCAGGCTCCAGCTCAGAAAGACCTCCACAGCCATCAGAGCAGTGACTGCCACCAGCCATGGACTCGGTGCAAGTCAGTGCAAAATTAGAACTTGAGTGAAGTGTGTTCTCTGTGCCATAAAGCTGGAGCCAGCTGCAGTGGCAAGTTCTGAATAGCCTCTAAATCCTGTCTAAACACAGGCTGCACCTCACAACATAAGCAGAGCCCATACCAGCTCTGGTAATTACATTTTTCTCATTCCCAGGTGCCCTATAGTTTGCTGAGATGAATTAAGTTTAAATTCCCTTTAAAAGAAAAGCTACGTGTTGTTGCTGAGGAAGAACTGTTCCCAGGTGGAGCAGTGCTTACACTCAGCTTTAAGGAACATTCTTTTCTTTTCTTGAATATTCATAAAAATACCTTGAGGATGGTTAACACACCCATATTAAAACAATTATTTCCAGTTAGTGGCCACTTCCCATCAGTACACTGACGAACCTTCGCTTTAAGCTCCAGAAGAATCCAACACTGCTGAAGCATTTATATGTCCGAAAATAAAAGCCCACTGACTGCGAATGACAGCTTTGAAGTTTCTAACCAAGCTTCAGAGTTTGAAATAAAACCTCTCCGACATTTAAACACTGCATCCCTCAGCTGGTGTAATGCCTCACATCTCATCAGGCATTGTTCATGCTGTGGCAGCACCCATATCCTTGCTGACAGCAGCACTTACAGGCTGGGCTAGATGAGCAAAACTCAGCGTCCCCAGCTGACAGAGCACGTACCTGCCTTCGCCTTGCTAATTGCTTTATTGCTGGCTGAGACCCCAAATCCTGCTAGTGGCAAAGGATGCTGCAAGCCTCAGCACCACGCAGCAACCTGCAACAAGCACAGATGAATTACATTAGGCATGCCCTGAGCATAGGACAGGAAAGGTGGGTGCCTCCATCTCGCTCCTTCCCAGAGGGAAAGCAGCTAAAGCCTTTTTGCTCCCTTTCACTCACACTGCTGTTAATGTGCAGGACCAGACACAATTCCTCTCCATCGATCTTTCTCTTTTAATGGTACCCATAGCCAGGGTATATTTGGCCCAACACAAAACAACAGCTTGGTGATAGCAACCAGGAGAAAGTTTGAGTTGATCTTGCCAGACAAGCAGCTGACATCACTCATGCAGTGCACACAAGTGATGAAGACTGTACAGTAAAGTAGTTCACAGGTCAGAAAGCAAAACCCCAACCCTTGTTTTCTGGGACAGGGACTGACCTGCCCCAGCACAGTTTGTGATGTAAACATCAACCTGCCCCAAAAGCAGCCCTTTCCCATCACCTGAGTGGGGGCTGACAGCTGAGAAAGTGCTGGCATGGCACCTCCGCACACTGCGCTGCCGCTGCTGGGACAGCCAGCAGGGAAGAGCAGGGCAGAGCAAACAGGTCAAGACCCAGACAAGCCTCCTGGTTTACCCCTGATGTTTCAGACAGCTCCTGAAATTCCCACATACAGCACTTACAGCTCTTTCACAGGCCGGAAGATCCCACCTCCCCCATGTGTGAGTGGGATGCTGTGTCTGAAGTAGCTCTCTCTGGAGCAAGCAACATTTCTTCTGGGTTGGGTGCAGCTCAGTGAAATGCAAAAGTGCTTGAACCCACTTATTCCAGTCCCGCTTATGCTATGCTCAACTGCTATGTCCACTGGGACATATGGGCAGTTGGACAGGATGATCTTAGGGGTCTCTTCCAATCTTGGTGATTCTGTGATACCAAGACACGCTCCTGAGTGCCTTGTGGTGACAAACTCCTCCAGCACCAGTTTCCTCCCCTGGATCCTGACAGGTGAGCATTCCTTGCGTCACATGCACAGCAAGGAGCAAAATGAAAAGCACAGCACCAGAGTGGTGAGGATAAGCAGTGGGGAATCCCCTGTATTCGACAGGGGAATGTGAAAGCCGCATGTTTGTAGGGATTTGCTAGCAGATACAAACACATAAAACAGACCCTACTGCTTCTCTCAAAAATTCACCACTCAAGCTATCTAAGGATGCATTGAGGGGCAGGGAGAACATTCCCTGTATGGATCATCTGTGTGTGACTGCCCATTTTAGCTTGTGCCGCTCTCTCAGACACTGACTCGCCGTGGTCACAAAAAACAACACATTTCCATGCCTCTTTTTTTTTCTTTTAATTAGATCTCCCTCTCACTGCTTAGACCTCTACTTTTGCTCTCCTCCTTTGGATGGAACAAGGAAAGAGTTTTATTAGGAGCCTTCACCTCTTTGCAAAGTCTGAGCACACTGTTCCTATAAATCTAAGACACTTTAGCAGAGAAACCAAAGACCAAAGCAGAGCCTTCTGCGTGACAAGGCAAAGGATCACGCTGCTTAGCTTTTCCTCCCTGGCTGCATCCTTTCTGCTGTCTTAAGAGCTTCCAATATTTGCAGACAGCTTTCTGTTTTTTCCCTAATAGCAGGATACTGCATGCCAGCTACATGCCCTCTCCCACCCCAATCCACAAACAAAGGAGCGAGCCAGAAAAACAGCATTTCCTGAACTGACTGAAGAACTGCAGGCTGAAAAACCCCTCCCATTTTTTGTCCCTTCCACTGTGAGATGTAATACCTCATTAACAACATTTGATATTTACAGGTTGGCATTTATTACAGCAATCATATTTCTCTTCCATGCTACATCTGCAGCCTGTTAAGACTGCAAATGCTGCATTTGCACAGCTCCAAAAGCCCAACCGTGATTTTTCATGGCAATTTCACTGCTGAACCTAAACCTCTTCCCTTACCCACCTGCAACAAATGCTTCAGTCCTCCTCACTCCAACACCAGCACGGCTGTGCTAGGAGACTCCCAAGGTCACCCAGACAGCCTGAGCTCCCACTGCACCACACCACTAAGGACCCAAGCCAGGTGAGCCACCTCCTTATCTCTGTACTAAATCAGCCTCAAAACAGCTCTGCTTCGCTGGCTGGCTGCCCTGACAATTCCATAGTATGAACGATACCCGAAGTGTTCTGCATCTCGACACAAGGTTTGCCTAGCAGAAAGTCTCGAGGACAAAAAAGATTGAGTTAGAAAGCATGTACCCACCCACCAACATAACCCTATGCTGTAAAATATAAATGAATGGTTGTCATGGCAACTGCTTCAGAGAGAAACGTCCCTCACAAATGCTCAATGGCCAGAAGAAACCCTCACATGCACACCCCCCAGTCTCTCCCTTCCTTGCCACTATTAGTGAGGTTCATCCAAAGACTAGAGTTTACTTAATGCTGCAATGCTTTGCACCAGCAAATTGCAACAGGTAGAGAAGCTCAACACTCATGTCCCTGAAATCTATTCAGATTTCTCTAAGTATCCTGAGAAATCCCGTTGCTTTGGACAAATCTATAAGCTCTCTTATTGCTCTGTGAGGCACACTTTTGAATTACTGTTTTTCATTACTGATGTGCTTTCCAGCAGACCCCGCTGTGAGATAAAGTGGTATTAGAGTGGCATTACCGGCTGCAGAGTGATTGAGAGACGTACAGGGCTGCAATACACTCCTGAACTAACAGGCAGCAATATATCTAGAAGCCTTTTTGCTAATACCAGGAGAAGGAAGGGTAGAAAAATAAAGCACTGTGTATTCCTTGGCTATCCATATGCCAACCTCCAAATACCTGCCTCTGACTGACTTGTATATTTCAAGCTAAAAATGAAAGTTCTCAAGCCTCCTTGAGAGACATGGGGCACTGAACAGAGCCAACGCAACCCTGCACCACCAGATCAGGGGCACCCTGCATCCATACTGCATGGAGGGCCCTGCTGCAGGGCAGCGCCAGCTGCCACTGCCTGGGGAGATTCCCAAAAGCGCCCAGATGACTCAGCAGCAGCAAAATGCAAAGAGGATGTCTTGAGTGCTGCTGCTGGAACGAGGAGGAGTCACATCTAGGTGCTGGTTCAGAGCACAGTTCCAGCCAGTGGTTCCAGCCTGCAGGTTCCCTAACCACTGAGCAGGGCTTTGCTGATGCCATGCTGTCCAGACACAACATGAAGAGGCTGCAGAAGAAACAGATGGTTAGAGAAGACAAGGTTAGCTTGGTCTCAAGCAGTGGTCTCAGCACTTCTCTGACCAAACCTGAGCTTCTGCAGCCACGGAGGACAAGCAGGCACAGGAAGGTTTGCAGATGTTCCCAGACAGCTCCTTTGGAACGTGACTGACAATGCTGGGAAAAGCACCAGGATAAATTTATGAAAACGTTTCCAAGTGGATGGCAGGCAGTGATATGATGCATACTGATAGTTAAGAGCGAGCAGAGACAAATCATACAACAGGGACAGATTAGGAGGGACGTGGAGAACAAGGCAGACCAACAGCAGATGCTAGGCTGATGGAGAGCTGCAGAGCAAGAAAACCAAGGCAGCAGGCAAGAAAAAATGCATGTTCAGCAAGGAGAGGAGCAAGCTCAAGTGAGGCCCACATGGGGCAGGAATAAAGACACAGGATGACGGTGTGGATGATGGCATTAGTTGCAGATGAATAGAAGAAGCTGCATCGTAGAGATGTTGCACTGAAAAGATTTGCACTCTACTGAGCAGCCAGGAAGCCAGAACTGAGCGAGGTTTTGCTCTACGCAGGAAGATACAAGACCTGCTGGCAGACAACCAGAGGTGGAAGATCAGATAAGCAGGATGGTCCAAGGCCGCAAGCAGAGCAGAGCCAGCTATATCTGAAAGGACTGATGGGTAAAAGGAGATTCAAGCAAAGGACTGTAGCAGCCATATGTCTCTTTGGAAGGGGATAAAGGGCAAGAGAAACACCAGGATGAATGCAGTGGTCTTAGTCCAGAGCCAAAGGCATGAGCAGACATTGCCAGAGCCCATGCTGAAGTTAACAGTTCCCCCAAAAGGTGCCTCTCTCCCCATAACTCAGTGACCCCCACAAGCACTGGAACAACCAACAGGGGGAGCCAGGCGACCACTGACACCAGCTCTAGGGCTGGCTCGCTCTGTCCTCATTGTGATGTTTCCATTCCCCTGACTTTAGGGCTTTTATTTAATAAAGGAAAGCTTTAATATAGGATAGTTAATGCTAGATCGTGGGACTGAAGATCAAGACAGTGGTAGTCTCCTAACCTGAGGAATGGGTGCTCACGGCAATGCACTTGTTGCAACTCCTGTATCTATTGGTCAATACCAGTTGTACTTGACATTAGGTGAAAATCTGAGTGATAGAAACCTCTTAGGAATGTCAGAGAAATAAGAAGCTGGGTGGAGAAGAACAACTTAAATCAGAATTGCCTGTAGAAACAAGAATGCAAAGCCAGCCCAGTTCTGCTGTTAGAGATTAGACAATTGGTGTACAAGCAGACATGAAAAATCTTCCCCAGACATCAGGTAATTCACACACAAAGCATAAACACACAGGAAACCATACTTCTCAAGCTGCGCAATTAGGAAGGTTATGCTTTTCCCTTTGAAAAACATAAGCAGGAGCAACGGATGTAACGGTAAAAATACCAGCCCACAAACCCTGCTGCATGCATGTAATCTAACCTTCAGCTGCTGCAAAGGGGAACTCACTCCTCTTGCCTAGAGATGTCCTCCAAGCAGACTCAGAGGACGCAGCAATTTAATAACACCATTCCCTGTTCCCAGGCTGGCCCTATGCACTGAGATACCATTTCTGTCAAAGCAGAAGCACACTAAAATACAACAGGGAATGCTCTACTTTCACTTCATCCCATCCCTATTTTCACTACGCCTAGCTATTTCCTGCTGCTCTCAGATCTGAAGGCAAGTAGGAGGGACTGTCAGCACCGGCTCTCATGGGGAAGAAGGGAAGTGATTACATTAGCAGCATGGCGTGTGCTACCGAGTCATTTCCTGACACCCATCCTCATTCACTGTCAGTAACCAAAAGAAAAGTGAAATAGAAGCAGCAGCAAACTTGTGAATCGCTCCCCAAAAGGTTTCCCAATAAATTCATAGCAGAGCCACCAACTTAAGCAAAAGGCCTGTTAGAAATACATTGTTAGGAAAGGAAGCAAAGAAATAAGGCCTCTGAGGTAAAGGGCAAAAGCCTCCCTCAGCGAATGAGAAACCGCTGAAGGGGTTTCCTCCAGCTGGAGCTCTCACATGCATTCTTACCTGTGAGCATTTCTCTAGCACCTCCTCCTTGAACTGCAGGAACTTCTCCTGGATGACGGGCTGGTTGAGAGCAAAGGACAGGAAGTGTGTGAAGGGCTGCTTCTTACGGAAGCTGTCGAGAAGAACATCGATGCGTGTCCGGGCCGAGATGACAGCGCCACGCTGCTGTCCTGTAATCACTGCAAGGAAACAGAGCGACACCCGGCCGGTTCTCACGATGCTACAGGGAGATTGCTGACACTCGTGTAAAATAAACAGTAAATACATGGATCGTGATTTTGCATGATACTGATCTGCTCGATATTGGTGGATCTTGTGAAGGTAAGAACATTTCATTCGGGAGCTGCCAAAAAGGAATTAGAAAAACCTGCACAACAGCACCTCTCTACTGTTATCCCAGACTCACTGAAGTGACAGGAATTAAAACTCCCAGCCACGCACAGAGAAATCTTGCCAGACTCCCTGCTTGACTTCAAAATGCCTGGCACGGCTGTACTTTCCTCTGCAAAGGCAGGATGATGCCATCAAAAGTATCCCTCTGCTCACAAGAAAGCTGCCTCTGTGTGTCTAAAAAACAATTGCAAAGAGTCACTCACTTCAGCAGCTCTTCAGATTTCTAGAGCATTATTTCATGTTTTCATAAAAGCAGTCTCTCAGTAAAAGCGACAAAGGAAATCTACAAAAGATCAGGATGGCCTATGTTGTTTGTGTATGCACCAAACAGAGGACACTTCATCTTGAAAGGAAAGAACTGCAAAGAGCAAGATTTTCTTGGCTTCCTACTATTACATGTTTACAACATCTCTCAGCCTTCCTAACAGTTCTTCACAGTTCTCAGGAAAAAGTCAAGCCCCACTTACTGAGAAGTGCCACCACATTCCTGTGCAGTACGACAGCTGGGTCCCTTGTCACCTAATCCTCCCTACCCCATCATGAGTGTAACTCTACGCTGCACAGCAAGAGCCCTCTGGATTCCCACTTAGGCAGCAACCCGGTGAGCAACACCTCCTGTCTTGTTAAGTCACTGCAAGTGATGAGAAGGAACATACGGTACAAGGATGCCTGCTCTCACTATGAGAAAGACAGCAACGTCATCAAAGTACTGCTTATATTAAAGAACGTGATGAAGTTCATTTCATGTCTAAGTAGATAACACAACACTTTTTTCTAGATGTATACTGCAAGTCCTTATTAATGGATATGGTATTACAACAAAAAAAAAAAGCACATTTGGGTTCAAAGCCCAAAGTTCACAGGCCAGTCATTTGTTTCTAAGAAGCAACTTCAGTGAGAGTATTCATAGGCTTAAAAGGGAATTTTTTCCCCTCCCCTCAAGATTCTTACTCTGTTCTGTAGAGGTTTACAGTCAAGGAAAAAAAGCTCAAGAGAGAAGGGAGGTGATTTTCCCAGGACTATAAAGAAAGCCAGGGCCAGAAGCAGGAGTTAAAGGAAAACGCCCTATTCCTCCTCCCTGCTCAAATTTTGTCCATGGAAGAGCCAGTGAAAGAACACTTACCAATTTCTCCTTCCACTCCAGGCTTGGGAATGCTGATCGAGGTTCGAGTCTCTGTTTCTAGTCTCTTCTTGGTTTCTCCTTTCTTCCCTATTATGTACCTGGAGGTATAAAAGCAAAACAGCACAGCATGGCTGGACCACTCCTCACCAGGGACCACACCCCAGCTGCCCCAGTGGCTCCCCTGACAGGTGACACGTCCATGCTAGAGGGATGCATGCAGCCAGCTCAGGATGCAGGCCCAGTGGCTGCTATCAGCCCATGGCCACAGGATGACAGGCAGTGGCTCACAACTTGCTTCAGCTGTGGCACATCCTGTCACAGCATTACCATCCACGTTATCACTTTTCCCCCCAGTAACCCCAGACAAAGAGCTAACAACGCTTCCCATTTGGTGTGTTGCTCAAGATAGTAATTCGCCAGCATCCAAAAACAACAGAATACCTTTCCTTCTCTACAGTTCAGTAAAACTATTTAACCCATAAAACTGTCAAAACTAACTGGATAAAGCTTTGAACGTGGCAGGCTTCCCAGTGAACATCAGATCTGAGTCAACAGTCGGTTCCAGGTGCGTGTGCTTTCTCTCAAAGCTTTCACAAATCCCCCTGGCAGGCTGCTCACCCCAGTTCTTTCTCCTTTTCTTCCACTCTTGCTGACACTTTCATGTTCAAGGGAAGAGATGCTCAAACACTCTCCTACCAGCCAGAAAGCACCACCTGCTGTCTCTGCCACAGCAAAGGCTAGGAGTCAAGCGTGGCACTAGAAAGGCATTGCCAATTTTCCTCTCCCACAAGCAGGACAGACACAAAACACAATGTGTTTCAGAGATCTGGCGCTGACCCCGAACCCCACCAAAATGTATTCTGCGCAGAAAAGCTTCCCCAGTCAAAGGCAACTCGCAGAAACCAGAACCCCATAGGCTCACTTGTATAAGGGGCTGGGAACCTCCACTCTGCACTGGAAACCTTTCTCAGTCTCTTCCACCACAAAGGCATCGCATGGTTCATCCGCACAGTCGTTGGGCCCTACCAGGAAAAGCAGCACTATATGTAGGACAACAGCCTCACAGCCTTCCCCTGAGGCTGAAGAAAGTAACAGACACACTCCCCTCTGCTGCAACTAACTGCTTTTTATTTCACGTTGTACCAGCTTCAAAAAAACCATAATGACTGCTTCAAAATCTGCCTGCTTGGGAGGTGCACAGAGCCTGTACTCAGAGCCTAGGCTTTATCCTGGCTGCAATTTGTGCAACAGCTTGGTGGGAACGCCCTCCTCCAAGTTTTGCACTGCTCTCCAAAAACACACGGAGACACCGAAGCAGAAACTTACAAGTCTTCTGCAAATAAAAATAAAAGGTGAGGACAGTTTCAGTTCAAGGGTCCAGAGATTTGTGCCAGTTAAAATCAAATACACTTTCCAGAAAGAGGCTGGGAGGGTTCTCTGTGATTCCCCACACATACAGGGATGCATCTGGGTAGCAGACAGCTTATAACTGCTTTGTTAACCTTCACTGAAAGGCAGGGTGGAAAGGAGAAACACCACGACCAAAATTCTCTCTGAAAGATAACGAAGGGACTTTTCTCTGTCTACAACTCACACAGAACTACAACAAGCATGTAGGCAGAAGGACAACATAAAGTGAAGCAGAACCCACAAAAAACAGATCTACAGAGCCAAGGCGTGGCTTTTTTTCCTTTACTAGTGATCATTTAGAGCCAGCAAAAGTTATCAACAGCCAGCAACACAGTCATCCAAACCCATACTGAGTAATTACGGCTACATCCACTCTTTGGTCACAGTGATCACCCAACACAAAGTGTTTTTTTTCTGTTTTTTCACAGCTCATTCCAGCACACAGACAGGCCCTCACGCACACAGACACAAGAGGCAACACCAAGTGTCAGCTCTGTCCCCACAGCACTGCAGTGATCCCGTGCGGCACAACACCTGTGTAGAAGTCCTCCTCCTCCTGCTGCTGCTGGACCTGCTCGTGAATGATGTTCTTCCTGTACACTCGCCCACCGATCCTGACCAGGGTGGGCCGCAGGACATCCATCACACTGCTCTTCCAAGGACAGCAAGCTGCAAACATACACGCAGCTGTGTGAGGGCAGGCGAGTCCTGAGAGGTATCCCTGAGCTCCTCAAACCCTGCCAGCATTCAGCAGCTCTGCAAGGGCCGTGCCCAACCACCCCAGCATGTCTCCCATTGTCCTTTTGCATAGAATCATTACAGTTGGAAACGACCCCTAAGGTCATCTGGTTCAATCACCAGACCACTGCCCACATCCCTCAGCACCACATCTTTACAGCTCTGCAACACCTCCAGGGACGGTTACTCCCCCATTCTCCCCAGGCAGCCTGTGCCTATGCACCACCACTCTGAGAAGAAACGCGGCCTAACTCCCAACCTGACCCTCCCCTGGCACAACCTGAGGCTGTCACCTCTCAGCCTCTTGCTGTTACCTGGGAGCAGAGGCCAACCCCCACCTCACCACCACTTCCTTTCAGGAGTTGTAGAGAGTGATGAGGTCTCCCCTGTTCCCCAGACTGACCCATCCCAATTCCCTCAGCCACTCCCCATAAAGCACCTGCTCCAGCTCACAGCTGTGTTGCCCTTCTGCGGGCCCTTCATTATTTCTATTGAGGAAAGCTGAGCTTCCCCTCCAGCTGCCCTGCTACAGGACATCAGGACCCAGGTTCCCTTCAGCCTTTAGATATTAGAACGCTAAAAACTCTGTAAGCCCCGTACAGCATTTCTGTGTCTCCTCAGTGCACCACTCTGTGTGGCCCCTGTGCTTCTCAAAGCTTACGTGATGCTTTTTTTCCCCACAGAAAATACAAAAAACAAGATTCCCTCCGAAAAAATACAGCGAGTTTGAGACAAACGCCGGGAACCCTGGAGGTGTTCCGAGACGCGGGCTGATTTTCGCTGTGGAAAACGCACGCAGGCGTGCAGCAGCTGGGCGAGCAGCACGGCCGGGCAGACCTCAAACCTATACGCGTCACCGAAACGTTCACGTGCAACAACTCCGCGTGCCCAGGCGCTTTTAGAACAGATTCCTGCCAGCGAGCAAGAGCTCCGGCAGCACGCCGCCCTGCGTCGGAGCGTTTGTGGGAGCGCTACCACGGCACTGCCAGGGTAGGCACACGGCTCGCCGCCACAAGGCTCCCGTTCCCCCACGACCCGCCCCGCCCCGCACGCGCAGAACCACCGACCCACGACCCGCCCCGCGACAGCGCCGTCGCCAAGGTGACCGCCCCCTCCCCCACCGGAAGCCGGCTGGGCCCGCGCGCAGCGCGCGCCCGCCCGCCCTCCCGGCCCAGCATGCACCGCGAGCGCGATCACGCGCGCCGCCTGCGCCAAGCGGTGCGGGCGCCCAGGTGAGGCCCGGAGCGGGCCGCCGAGCCGCGCGGCGGGAGGAAGGCGGAAAGGGGGCGGGCGGCGAGAGGGAGGGCGCTCGACCGGGCGGGAGCGGAGCGTCGGCGGCAAGAGCCGCACTCACCGGGAAGCGGCTCGCTACGGAAGCCGGGGAGGGGCCGCGGTGTGGCGCATGCGCGGCGGTTGGGGGGAGGCGGGGGGGGATGCCGCCCATGGTGCGCGCGGCGCAGGCGCACTGGCGCCGCGGAGGCCGCTGCGTGCGGGGCAGGAGTGTGGGCAGGGGGCGGGGCGGGCGGGCAACCCCGTCCCACACACAAAATGGCGGGCGATGAGCGCCCCGGGGGGTCATTCACCGCTCTGCGGGCTGGCCGCTACCGTGTCTCGCAGTAAAAAATGTCTTCCAGATATGCACTGTAATAGGGCGCTGTATGATTCATCGATACATAAAAGAGCCTGCCAAAAGGTGCTGGACAGAAACACCCGAACTGGGGAGGGAGGCGCTGTGCGGGAGCAGCGAGCGTTGTCACTTAGAACAGCCCAGCAGCGGCTTCTGTGCACCGAGGGAGGCGTTGGACAAGTGTTAAATATCCCGTTCCCACCAACGCAGCAACAGACAGTCGCTCTAAAAAGACCGAGAGGAAGGCAGGCGAGCAGCGTCCGGCCTTGTGCTGCACAGGCAGATGCTGTGTGGCGCTGCAGGAGGCCCAGCACGCTGTGAGGGCAGCTGACGCAAGGCGGGCGCTGATGCAAGGCAGGGCGCTGTTGCTGCAGCCGGGGCGCGGTGCGCTTCACGCAGGATGTGCACGGGAACCGGCAGTCCCGCGGGCTTCCAGCTTTTATGAGGGAGTGGGGCTTTCTCTGTGTTTGTGCTCCTGGAAACGAGGCCAAAATAAAGAAGTCTTTTTATGGCTCACGGGAGCGGAGCCAAGCAGCTGACGGCCGGCGGAGCTGGGTCAGCGACCTGCACCGGGTTATTTTTATGTGCTGCGGCGATCCCGCGACATTCCCAAGCCCCTCGCCGTGAGGGTCGGCCTGAGGGCTGCCCACCGTTCGGGGTGCTGCCGCGGGGCGTGACGGCTGCCTGCGGCTAAACAGGGTGCGAAGCCGCAGCCGTTCTCAGCGGCTGGCTCTGGAGTCGGCCGTGACGGGCGTGCCTGGCTGCGTGCCCCGCCGCTGCGATGTGCTGGGGAACTCCAGCGGTGCAACCGGAGCGGATGTGCGCAGGCCAAGGCATGCACCCTGTGGCCAGCTTCCTGCCCCTGTGTGTGTTTGGGACGAGGCTCCCGGTCCTATTTGTACCCGTTAGCACTGACGTCTTGGCCCAGAAGTGGGAAAATTTGCCGCTGAGGTGCCCTTCCTAACTGTGCTCTGCTTCCTTTCCATGGCTGCAGGCTGGGACGGGGTGAAATGGCCGCCTCCTCTTCATCCTCTTCAGCTGGTGGAGTCAGCGGCAGCTCTGTGACAGGATCCGGTTTCAGCGTCTCGGACCTGGCACCACCCCGAAAGGCCCTCTTCACCTACCCCAAGGGAGCCGGGGAGATGCTGGAAGGTGATTGCGCTGGCTGACTTCCGCACTTCCTCCTTCCCCACAAGCGTGGGACCCCAGGGCCTGCTCAGACTTGGGCTGGCAGAAGCCAGGGGGAGGAAGGAAGCTCCAGGGCCAGGCCCTGTCGCAGTGCCTTTTCCCATGGCCTGCCTCGTTGCTCCGGCTCTCCCTGCCTCCCGTCACTTGTGAGGAAGTGACTTTTCTTGCAGTCACCTCAGTTTTAAGTCCGTGACAGTGCTTCAGACAAGGAAGTGATCCACCTGAAAGGGAACATGACAGCATTAATTGCTCATTGTTAGCTGATCCTTTGAAGTCGGACAGGAATTACTGTAAAGATAGCTGAGGCAGGAGTATTTTTCTTGGCAAAAGAAATTCTGGGGTTAGATTGGACTGGCTAGTACAGAAGGCAGCCTGTGTCCCTGCTAGCCAGGAAATGCAAGGCTTGTTTTGGCTCTCAACCCGAGCTGAGACCTTGCTGCAGAGATCTACGTGAGCAGCACGAAGGGATGATAAGGACCCTTGACCTAGCTGGAGGTATGCCTCCTGCTGTATGGCACAAATTCAGCAGCAAATCGGGACTAGACCTCTCTTCTGACTTTTAGAGGCTGAGCACATTTCCCCCTGGGTGTTCTACAGGGCTATATTAGCTGGCCTTGGCCCCGTGGCTCAGACATGCCTGGGTTTCCCTAGGTATGGACATGACATGGCAGCACAGGGCAGCTGGGAACTGAGCTCTGTGTTGTAATCGCTGTTTTTATTACACATTAGAGTCCGTATGCCAGTCTATTGAAGTAATTATGACTAAAGAGTTGTTCATAGAACTTAATGAGTCCTCAAAACAAATTAAAATAATGAAGCACTTCACGTTAGCAAATAGACAGGCAACTGTTCTTCCTGAGAGCTGCTCAGGCTGGATGGCTGGGCTGGAGGCAAATGGGGAATCAGAGGAGAGGGAAGGCAGTTGTCTCCCACAGAGGTAATGAGAGTGTTTGAGCAGTGCTGGTTATGTTTGGAAATGGCACAGCATTAACATAGTATTTTGAGAGCTTGCAAGAGAGGATATTGCAATTGTGGTGCAGCTCAATTCTTCCTTCTCACCCAGGACTCAACTTCAGATTAGTTGTCCAGGCCTGGTGCCAGGGGTCCATCTGTCCCCTCAGCCTTGGAGCTGCTGCTCTTCCTTATCTTTACAGTGAGCAGCATGTACTTGATTTTATTTTGGGCTGACCAATCCATTTTGGGTGGCAGCAGCAATTGTACACTTTCCCTGTCACAGGAAACTTTAGCTTCTTCATTGTGAGATAACAGGTGATGACACTCATACCTTCTTCAGGCAGTTGCTCATGTGGTTGCTGCGTACCAGTTTCCTCCTCAAAAATCCCTGCTAACTGACTGATTTTTATTGCCGCTGTAACTAATTCGCTTGTTGTTAAATCAGTCCTTTTTGGAAAAGGAAGTGGCATAAGCCACATTAGTCCTTGGCACACAATTAGCTCTGTATACCAGGTTGCTTTAGTCTTCAGATGCTGTATGATCAGTTATCTGATTTAGCTTGTAAGATGCACGGTATTTGAAATCCCTTGTGCGGGGTTATGGTCTATGCCCACGTGAAATCATAAAGCATTGTAAGGACATAAGTGTCTGAGCCCTGAGGGAATCAGAGGCTGTCATAATATTTGCTAACTTCTGCTTAGCTTACCTTCTATTTAAAAGCAGACTAAAATTACTTGATGGGGAGAATGTAACAATATTTGTGGATTTGCAGCCTTACTAAGAGCAAAGCCCCTGTGCCAACCTGACAGCACTCTGGAAGTTATTCAGCTTACTTAGAACCAAAATGCCATGGCAGAGTGTGATTCTCCACATGTCTGAGGGAGGTGAGGGCTCAAGTAACGCAGCTCTTTGCAGTTTCCATCAGGTGTGTGTGGCTTGCCGGGTCTGCTGCTGGTCATGAGGACAGGTGCTGGGTTTCAGCAGCCTGCAGAAGGGTCACAGCCTCCTACTGTAAGCCAACACAGGTCCCTTCCAAGCAGCCATTTGCAGCAGAGGAGATTTTCCAGCCTGATGGAAATCCATCTGAATGGCCATTCGTGGCCATTCCTGGCCATTCTCCTTTCTCTTCGAAACCCAGTATGGTTTTATTCAAGCAAGGAGGTGTCAGTGCACTTCATGTCTGGGTGGTTAAGCTGCTGGCACATACAAGCTTCAGTAGCTGGCTTGTTGGTGTTATACATAAAAACAAAGGGAGAGCTTTGAGTTTTCTTCTGTAGCGCATCTTTCACATGTCCTCTCTGGCTGCAAGTGTCATTGCTGCATGCATGCAGCAGCTGCTGGAGCCCAGCGGCTGCAGTCGTGGCCTCAAGCCACCGGCCTCCCAAAGTTGGTGCACGAGCAGCATGCCTGTGTACTGCTTCACATGAATGGGAGCAGCTGGGCTGTAGCGAGCTCCTTGTGGGGCTGTCCGCCTCTGGCCTTGTATATCTTGCACAGCCACATGCCGTCCTCATGCCTGTGAGTGGAGCTTGCTGTGGCAGCAGTTCCAAGGGAGCAGAGCTGCCTCCTGCTCTCTGCTTGGCTGCACAAGACTTAGTGGGGCAGCACTGTCCCCCTTAACCCCCCTTCCTTTGCCACTTGCGCCCCAGGAAGCTCCCCAGGAAGGAAGCGTAGGCTGGGTGGACCAGACCTGCTGACACTGCTGTAGCAGTGGTTGCTTCCCACCCAGCAAGCAATCTGTGCTCAGAAGCGATGGCTCCCAGGTAGCACAGCCACCTGCCTGCCTGCCTGCCCCACTTGAAAACCCTTGGTAGGATTTGACTGCAAGGCCTAGAAACCAAAGCGCTGCACGCTCACTGCAAGAGAAAGCACTGAAACTAGACAGATGGGGAAACCCACAGCTCAAATATAACAATATTGGCCACAGTGCTTGGTTAGGGCTGCTCCATCATAGAGCTCTCAGAACAGATGAAACCACCTCCCTTTTTCTATTTACAGATGGCTCGGAAAGATTTCTTTGTGAGTCTGTCTTCAGCTATCAGGTTGCATCTACATTAAAGCAAGTGAAACACGGTAAGCACATTATGTTTTAGCTGTACGCCGATCAGGGAAGATGGGGGCAAATGCAGCTAAGAGGCTGACATATTCTAGGGTGCCAACCACAAAAAAGCAGAATAGCCTTTTAAGTTTGTGAATTAATGCCAAGTCAGGCTACCAGCAAGTCCTTTTGCAAGCCCTATGCAAAGCAAAGGGAACCCACACAGCCTGGGTGGGAATAGGCCGTGCCTCTT